ACATCAACCACAAATTATATGAACCATCTACGAGCTGTACATAACTTGGACGTGAAATCTTTAAATAACCTGAAAAGTTCAACAATGACACAAAATGCATTGAAATCCTCAACAAGTTGTAACAACAAACAACAAAATGCTCGCCGGGTCGCCGAAATGTGCTGTTGGGATTTGCAACCGTTTAAAATTGTTGAAAGGCCAGGATTTAAGAAATTGGTATCTTTCTTAAACCCAAAGGCTATATTCCCCACAGATAGGACAATAGCTACGACGGCTTTAAACGATGTTTATAACATATATTTGGACCACGTAAAAACAAGCCTTAAAGAGTCGCCCAAAAATGTTACACTTGTATTGGATATGTGGTCAGATAAACATAAGCACTTGTCTTACATAAACATAAAAGTGCATTTCTGCCAAAATTTTCAAATGCAAATTGTAACGCTCAAGACAGAGATCTTTCCACGACCTCACACTGGACTAGCAGTTGTAGAAAAAATTGAAGAAGCTTTATGTGAATTTAATCTGTTGGAAAAAAACATATGTGCTGTTACTGATGGTGGAAGCAACATCGTTTCAGCTTTAAAAATTAAAAATATACCAAGATATGGTTGTATGGCTCATGTTTTACACAGATTTTTGATGGAAGATATACTAAACAACAAGTCATTTGAAAATATTAATAACATAATATCAAAATTAAAAAAAAATTATGGCAGCTTAATGTATAGCTATGAAGAAATATCAAATATTCAAAATATGGAGGAACAAAACGATTTAGAAAAAATATTTACAGAGGTTGAAATAATTTTGGAGAGTTTGGATAGTTGCGAACAATTTCCACATGGAGATGACTATTTTACTGAACAATATGAAGCAACTTTAAACGTCAAGCACCACACCTCTTTGAAAAATTCCGTTGCAACACGTTGGAACTCTCTGCTTGCAATGATTCAAAGCTATACGAATAATATATCCACTATAAATGTAGCATTAGTTAAAGCTAAAAAGGAACTGTTAGTGATTGGGACAATGGAAAAGCAAATTATAACGGAATTTGGCACGTTTTTAAAATTTTTTGAGGACGCCACAAAACACCTTCAAGGCCAAGATTATCCGACGATATCTTCGTGTATTTATTTTCAGGAATCCATTATGTCCTCATTGAAGAAAGAAGAAGAAAAAGCGTCTTTTGAACTAACAATCAATTTATGCAATTTCGCTGTGCAAAACTTCACGAAGCGATTCAAAGTATATAGAATGTATGTTGTAGCTGCGCTTATGGACCCATGCCAAAAAAACTGGCCTGTTTTAGATAAATATATACTACAGATACCCAAACAATCGCCAAACTCCTTGGAACTTGTGCATGATGTTCTGTCCCCAATTTCCAAGGAGAACTTGATTATGGAAGAAATTGAAAAATTAAAGGAAATCGATGACACATTATTAAATGAGCCATCAACGAGCACTGAACCAAATGCAAAAAAACAGGTATTATGTTTTAATAAATGTAAAGGTAAACTTAACTGACGTATATTTTACTTGCAGAAAATATCAGCTAGTCGTCAAAGAATGTTGGAATTTATGGGACCATCGCCTTCTAATGTACAAAATAACGTAGAGTTAGAAATAAGAAAATATTTGGAAATGAAAGTCGAGGCGGTTGAGCCTCTAGATTGGTGGCGACAGAACAAACAAGTACGTTAAAGATTCACATCTTAAACTTGTTTTAAGCAGGTTACGTTTTGACCATTTACTTTTCATAGATCTTTCCAAATGTTGCTACTGTAGCAAATATGTGCTTTGGAATTCCAGCCACATCAGCATCTTCAGAGCAAGCATTTTCATATGCCGGGAATTGTGTAAATGCAAAGAGAAGCAGCCTGCATCCGGCAACAGTAAAGAAACAATTGTTTGTTCACGATAACAAGGCAGTCGTCGAACCATTTTTATCAAATTAAAGTATTTTTATTAATTTTTAATGAGCAACAAATGTGCATATAAACTTATATTTTCATTTTTATTTTAAATTAAATGAATTGACAGTTATTAAAACAACCGAAATTATTTGTTCACGTTAAAGTCGTCGTCTGTAGCCGACTTTTAGCCGCCGCCGGCCGTATATTGCTTTAGCCGCCGCCGCCGATTTTCTTTCGGCTGCAGTCGACTTTTAGCCGCCGCCGACTTTTTTATGCTTAGCCGCCGCCGCCGAGAATTTCACATCGGCTTCGCCCTCTGGATGGAATTTGGCACTTACGACCGATTTGAGTCTAGAAGCTAGTATGTCAAATTTGGTGAAGATCGGTTCAAATATAGCTATAGTTCCCATATATATTGTTCATCCGATTTGTTATATTTTTTACCCACAGCCGTAATTTGCACTCCGTAACAACAATATTCAGGGAAAAATATCAAATGCAGCTCGAAAATATCTTTGCCAAATTTTATCAAGATCGGTTCAGATGTGGATATAGCTCCCTTATATATCAAATAGGCAATACAAGTCCGAATTTAAAAGATACAAATGCTTCAGCTTATTAAGTCTTTTGAACTTTAAAATATAATTATAATCATGGCGTGTATGATTGAATTCTCCCATAAAAAACTTTTAATTGTTATGTGGATCTCTACTAAATTAGAAAAGTGTTGTAGGGTATCATAAAGTCGGCCGCGCACGACTTTCTTTACTAGTTTTTTATTTGTTTCAGTATACTCTGACAAATCATCATGAGAAGACTCACGCTTGAACAACGCTACGAAATTATGCAAATTTACTTTGAAAATCAGACTCTAGAGCAGTTGCCAAATGACTCGTTGTTTTATCACAAAATTGTGTTTAGCGATGAGGCGCATTTTTGGCTTAACGGGTTTGTTAATAAGCTAAATTGCCGCATATGGAGTGATACCAATCCACAAGATACCCTACAGACCCCATTACATGCAGAAAAATGCACCGTATGGTGCAGTTTTCACGCTGGTGGCATCATCGGACCTTATTTCTTCAAAAATGAGGCCGGAGCTCGCGTTACGGTCAATGGAGATCGTTACCGCACCATGATCAATGATTTTTTGTTTAAAAATATGGATGACATTGATCCGGAGGAGATGTGGTTTAAACAGGTTGGCTCTACGTGCCATACGGCAAACACAACCATCGACTTATTGAAATCAAAATTTGACGATAAGTTGATTTCGAAAAGTGGACCTGACAATTGGCCTCGAAGGTAATTCGATTTGACACCTCTCGATTATTTCCTGTGGGGCTACGTGAAGTCACTGGTTTATGCTGATAAACCAGCAACAATTGACGCCTTGGAGGCCAGCATTGTTTGTGATATTCGTGACATACGGCCAGCAGTGCTCGAAAAAGTGGCCAAAAATTGGACGTCCAGAATGCACTTCGTCAAGAACAGCCGCGGTGCCCGAAATCATTTTCAAATGTTAATGTCACGAATTGATCTTTCGAATAAAAAAAAATTGATTAAAATTTAATTTTTTGTGTTATTTTTTCCAATTTCAAGTTCTGTCTGGCTTAAAAAACACCCTTTAGAAGTCAAAATATTTTTAAATAATCGAACATTGGCTGAGGAAAACCGACTGATACTTTTTACCTTGTTTTTTTTTTTTTTTTTGGAAATTTTTGCATTAAGATTCCTTGAAATTCGTTCAGATAACAATACGAGATTCTTTGGTGGAAAATTTTAACGAGCCAACAATAGATATTTTTTCCATACATGGTTAAAAACTACATTTGAACGTAAAAAATTTTCTACGAACTTATTTTTCATAAGATTTCGTGGGTCCATTGTGCCTTTGTTTTTTGTAAACAATGTACAGGTCGTATTTTTTGCCCGATCGAGATGAAATTTTGTACAAATCATTTGTTTGGCCCAAGGACGAACCCTATTAAAAATTGGAGATACATTTTAGACATAGCTCTCATATTTTAGATCGAGTTCGGAGGTGGGCAATATCAGTCCAAACCTTCCAGTAACTACCCCACAAAAGATCAAGGTAGGACTAGAAAAAATCACCAAACTTTGTACAAACTTTGCAAATCCCAATATTTGTAACAGTGCTAGGTCAGATGCCCACTCCATCAAGTCTACATTTTGAATAATTATACATCTTATTATACATCATAATGTGAAATAAGAGTCCGATTATCATCAAGTTTCGCACATTTCAATATATCTACCAACACAAGATCTGGTATGAAGATGAAATATAATACCACTTCCACAGCAGGTCAAATTTTTAATAATTATATAACTCTTAAATGCAAAATAGTTCAACATTTTGATTAACATTAATTCCCAGAAAATTGCGAATAAATGTTCAGTTTTCTTTAAATTTTGCACATACCAATATTTTATCAGTGTAGATGGTATATATGGTACATCAAGCATATTTCAACAAAAAAAAAAATTATCACACATCTCATATATTGTGAAATGATTTATATCAGACTTAGGTCAGATACGTAATGGACAATATTGACCCACTCCTTCGGAACCTCCCACATAAAGGGTGCAATATTTCAATGATCATAACACAAGGCTGGGGGTATACATCTGTCGGCAAATGCGACACATACTTTTTAACTTGTTTTGCAGAATATTTTGTCTTGTTACGATCCCGTATAAAGGGAGTTTTTGGTCATTTTTTGAAAAAAGGCCAAAAACACCCGTTTGGTAAAATACTTTAGGATTAAAAATGTTTACCATAGTAATCCTCGTATCACTGGCATTCAACAAAATTCTTGTATATGCATGTCAGCGGGATATTTTGGTATATTAAACGCTCACCATCCCATGGTGGACCAAATTATAAATTTTAACTAAATTTAATACACTACCCTCGTATCAACTGAATAAAATATGAATAAAAGTTGTTAATGCGAGTGAGTATAGCAGTGTGTTGGTTTTGTTTTCTATGAAATTGATTATATATTGTGGTCAGTGAAACTCTCGGAGTTCATTCTCAGAGTAAACGTGAAATCCGCCAGACGCAAAGACAAAAACGGTCGCAACGGAAACACAATTCGTTCTACGTTTGACAGTAGTAGTCAATCAAAAGTGGAGTGGAATTTTTTTCGGTGTGAATAAATTGCAAAAATTAATTTCATAACGCAAAAGAATTCAATGCGATTTTTCAAACGAATTATAATTTCTTAAAAGTTCCAACCGTTTTCTACTAATCATGATTCTGAATTATGGGCTGTAATTCATCCATGGATACGAATAGTGTTTTAGATGAACCTTTGCCAGGTGGGGGTGGTGGTGTTGGAGCTGGTGCCGTTGGTGGCTTAGCTCTGACACCCGCCCAGTGGCCATTGTCACAAGCGGTAATTAAAAGCTCATTAATTGCATAAATGAATGAATCGATGTAGCACAAACCAGCTAACAAACACAAACACACATACATATGTATTTGGTCATCGCAACTTAATTAATCACCTTCTTTATGTTATGCTTACCTTTGGAATGCTTCGTGTCGGTTTCTCCAGAATCATTCGGATGTTGTACGAGAATTTGTTCGTCTCGACGAGAAAATCAGTAAGCTGGAGGGTACCTGTCCGGGTCCACGTTTGGCCACCTGTGAAGCATGGATAGAACATTTGCAAAGTCGACGCAATGAGTTGTTGGGCCTGGACACAAGACTTGTTGAAAATCCTCTCCTAAGTGGCGGTCTATCAAAACAAGTCACAGCCTCGGCACCCGTTACATCGTTAATCGGCCAGACAAACAGTTTGCCCTCCCACGTAGTTGTGGACAATCGTGAAATGTCCATTGATGGCTATACGGCTGAGCAACCAACGCCATACAACAACAACAATGCTGTGGCCATAGTCGGCAATGGAGGTGTCCGAAGTGGTTACCAGCAAAATGGTATTCTCCCAACGCATTCCGGCAATTATAAATCGCCCGTGGGGGCCGGTGGTGGTGGTTTTGTCGGCAATGGCATTGGTGCACCTCGCCTAATCTCCTCTAATAACATAGTAGCGAAAACGCCTTCACAGGACTTAGTTAATGTAAGTACCATGGGGTAAATATTTTTCCTTATAATTTCCATGTTTTTCTTTTGTTTTCCTTTGTCCGAAGTTGGTCAATGCCAAAAGCGAAAAGAAAAGTTGATGTAAACAAAAACATCGTAAAGCAATTTGTAAAATATTTGTTTATACTCAGGAATGAAAATTGGTACCATACATACCACACACATACACCCATGTGTATATATCTACTCGAAGTTACTATATTTAGTGTGTTTGTAAACAACAATTTGTGAAGAAACAAATTAATCTGACCGTTAATTTTGACCTATTATGTAGGTTCTAAAACGTATAGTTAGTGTGGGTGGAGTTAACACGTGGGAAACTTATGAGTATTTACTTCGTAATGCTTTAACGCGTGGACAAGTTCTAACGATCATAATTTACGCTATTCTGTCCGATTGGAGACATCTACTAAGTGGTATTTCTATAAAGACACAACCAATGCCAAATCCCTGGACAGAGAAAAGGGGAGAAAGTCTTCCTCTATATCTACATTTTATACTAGGCTGAAACTAAACTCCCAATTTCTTACAAAATAGGAAGTAATTCTCATTTGCTACTAAGTATGCCATTTGGAATTTTAGGATAAAAGCTGTTTCCAAGTTTTCCAGGTATGATCTCCCCAAAATGTTGGCCAGTTTACAATAAAAAACCAGTAAGGAGAGTAAAAAATCGGGCGGGCCCGACTATGTGATACCCTCCAGCCCTATGCGGATTTAGTAGAGCTCCCGTAACAAAATAATTTTATATTGGGAATTTAATTGAAGTAGATCATACCAACTATGAACCTTATTTGAATGCGTATCATTGCTTTAGAGTAGTCACAATTTGGGAACTATATCCAACTCTGAATAGATTTTCAACAAATTTGACGAGGAGGTTTTTGCACCTCTAATACCAAATAACATTGCTATATAGTGCATGATATGGCTTTGTAAACCGGGATCAAATTAAAAGACCAAACGTCTTTTCCGTTTGAGCGTTTGTAAGACTCTGAATTTATTTATTAAAAACATTTCTTAAGAACTAGTTGTGATAATATGACTTAACCTAAATTATAATTAAGTGTAAATGAGAGAGAGAGATAGATACCAACCGTACACATGCATATGCACCATGCCACCATAAACCTTAGGGGGAGGTCATACACACGCATAGCTATCTCACATGTGGCAAGCAAACATGCTGCACTTGCTTATCAGTCTGAGTAAAGATTACATCCCATACTCTAACTCCACCATAACACATGCAGCAATAGAGAATTCTGTATTATTTATTTCTAACTCGAAGGTCTGCTCACCACATTTTCTTATCTTATTTCATGTGGACTGTATTAAGAAGATCCCAGTTTAACAAATCCTTCTCATCTACATTAGGTAGCCCCGCTTTTCTCTTTTATTATAAAAACATGTTCACTTATCCGTGAACAGCCATTGTGGAATTTTAGGATAAAAGCTATTTCCAGGTATGATCTCCCCAACATTTTGACCAGTTTGAAATAAAAAAACAGTAAGGAGAGCCAAAAGTCGGGCGGGGCCGACTATATGATACCCTATAGCCCTATGCGGATTTAGTAGGGCTCCCGTAACAAAAGAATTTACTTGAAGTACCACTTATAAACTTTTGGCTTTAGAGCAGTAATAGTTTATAGTTTCAGAGGGAACTAATATATGGTAGGCGTATCCAATTCTGAATCGATTTTAATCGAACTTGACGGAGACATTTTTATATTTTATGCAATGCTATAGAGTGCGTGCCATCACTTCGCGACGGACTATTTTAAAAAAATATATACAGGGTGAGACCAAACAAGTAAAGACCACTTCGAAGGAAATTGACAAATTAAAAAAAAAATCCGAAAACTACCACTTAAATGAAAACCATTATATGGGGATACGTATACGAATATACGAAGACGAAATTACGAAATTTTTTGTCATAGGATGTATTGCCCATTACGAACTTCAAATACGAAATTTGTTACAATTACGGTGAATAATGTCGCAAAAATCATGAAAATACGGAGTATCGGGAGGTACTGTCATATGGAGGCTATACGAGGATGTGGACCTACATACGAATTTTTTTGTCATAAGTTGTAGTACCCATTAAGATTTTTCAATACGAAATTTGAAATGATTCCGGTGAATAATGTTGCTAAAATCGTCAAAATACCGACTATAGTCCCCATATAACGGGGACTATACGAAGACATGGACCTGCATATAAAAATTGTTGTCATAGGCTGTAGTACCCATTACGAACTTCAAATTCGAAATACTTGCGGTAAATAATGTCGCTAAAATCATAAAAATACCGAATATCGGGAGGTACCGTTGTATGAAGGCTATACGAAGATCTGAACTTGCATACACAATTTTTTGCCATAGGTTGTAGTAACCATTAAGATCTTCCAGTACGAAATTTGAAACCATTTCGGTGAATAATGTTGCTGAAATCATCAAAATACCGAATATCGAGAGATACCGTTATGTGAGGGCTTTTCGAAAATGTGGATCGACATTACGAACTTAACCTGCCTACTGGTAAACTAGAATTTTACTCTGATCCAGAATCATATACTTTGTAGGGCCTATTATGAATATTTCGAGGAGTTACAAACGGAATGACAAAGTTAATATAACCTCCATAGAATTTTGGACCTTGCTTTCCAAAATACTCCAGACACAATAGTCCATCGGATTGGTATCCGGAGATTTTGATGGCCATTGTGCGATGGAAATGAAGAGAGGAACCTCATTTTGTAACCATTCTTGGGTGGCGCATGCTGAGTGCGATGGTGCTGAGCCGAGTCCTGTTGGAATGTCCAAGGTCTGCGGCAAAAATGTTTGCGTGCCCAAGGCTTCAATACACCCTCCAGAATATTATCGCGATAATATTCGGCATTTGTTCTGATGCCACGGCTGATTAATACGAGCGGGGAGCGACCATCGGATGTTATGGCGGGCGCTTGAGTTCTGGTGGCCAACTGAAGGTGCACATTTTCAGCTGACCTCTTTGGCAAGTAAACACGATCACTTTGTTTGTTTACAAACTGCTGGACAACGAATTTTTTCTCATCGGAGAAAACCAAATTCGGCAGTTCACCACTTTCGGCCAAGCGATGCAACTCTTTAACTCTTTTGAGTATATTTTCTTTCTGTTGCGGTGTAAGCTCATTTTTCAATATTTGCCGAATGGAATATTGCGATATTTTTAGCTCACGAGCCTTTTTTCGGCCACTGCGACGCTTGTTTCGATCAAGTCGCTTCTTTACTTTTCGAACCATTTCTGCCGATGTTTCTGTTTTCTTCCGTCCACTTCCTTGACATCGGATAACGCTACCAGTATCACGGTAACGAGCGATGGTACGAGATACAAAAGATTTTTCACATTTAAATGCTAGAGAGCTCTAACGATAGTCACTTGTGGCTTTCCAGCCAAATATAAAGAAATCACACTATCACGCTTGAATTCCATCACGAATAACTTTTTTTTTTGGAAAATTCTCCCCTAAATGCTTTTGTACGCTTGTAAACAATGTAATGAGCTGTCACTGGAATCGGACGAGTGGGTTAGAAATGACAGCAGTCTGAATTTGGTTGCAGTTTTTTATCTCTCCCTGCACTTCACGTAAATTCCCAATATAAACTTTTTGGTTACGGAAGCTCTTCTAGATACGCATAGTGGTATAGGCTATCATATGGTCGGCCCGCCCGACTTTTAACCTTTCCTTACTGTTTCTTAATTAGATTTTCAATGGTCTCTTGCCTTCAGGGAATATTATACTTTTTTTAGAAATCTAAATCGGGTATGCAGGAGGTCACGAACATCTATGTATAATAAACATTCCTTTATGCCTGAACTACATACCTAATTAAATGTGGGTCAACAACATTACTCTAAAGAAGCAATGGCAATACTAGAGGTAATTTTCCAATCTTCGAGATATCATTTCAATTATACCCCTCCCCCCCCCCCCCCCCCTTTCCAAAATAGGCTAATATCGCTCGTCTCAATAATTAGTTTTCCGCTGAAATTGAGTAATAAAAAATACTAAATTTGATTGTAATTTAGTCCGATATTTCCCCAAGGATATTACCACTGATTATCGCAATATTCGTGGCAAACCATGCAGTCAGTACTCCTACTGCTTGTGTTCAAGTACCTGTCCAAATTCCGACACACAACCGAATCGAACACAACTAACCAAAGTTCATTAAATTAATATTTAGATATATTGAAATGAAATTTGAGCATTACATATTTATGACGTTTGCCTAGCCGGGTCGTCTGTGCCGGTCTGGTCATGCTGTACGTATTTATGCAGACGGTGCAGGGGCGGATTGTGTAAACAAATATTTTGTTGGTAAATATGTTTTTATTTTCCTACTTGAGTTTTTGTCCAAAGCTTATTTCCAAAGACAACAGACATATGAAGGAAAATGTTTACGGGCAATGATTGAATTTGATAGCAGGACACTGAATACTCTAGACTTAAAGATATTTATAGAATTTCCTGGAAAGATTATGCCCATTATCGAGATTCGATTGCAAACAAGTTACTACAAATAGAACTAATTAGGCTATGGTAAATAAGTTATAACTATATTTTATAATTAGCTCGTTATTAAATAACAATTTAGGAAAGCCTTGAGATTGAACAGGGCTAATATGTTAACTTTTAGAGTTGGTAAATCTTCTTAAATACTAGGGCATAGTAGGAATTTAGGCAGTTGCGTCATTTGGGCATTTTATTGGCGCAAAAAAACACTCGCATTTTCTGCGACTAATGGCAAATTCTCCTGGAGTACAGCATTCACAATGTTTTTTTATGACGGAGCGATGATATCAATGTGAGTGCTAGAGACATCTACCCAATGGTCCCAATATTTTATAAGCTATCGCAAAAAATCCTTTTAGACCCAAGAAATTATATACATTTATGATAACCTTAAAATTAAAACTTGACTTAGCCA